GACACAAGGTCTTCAAACCCTTTCCCTTCCCTCCCTTCCTTGGCTGGACCACAAACACCTGTTTATTCTTGATCCACTAAGTTTGAGTGTGCACCTTCAAGTCACTTGTCAACTTTCATATTTCATAAACAGTATCATAAATTGTTATGCACTGTGTTATGTTATCATATTCTTCCAGGCAGGTCTATTCCCAACCCTGATTATTTACCCTAGTGCTTTGCCTCCAGGTAATAATAATAATAATAATAATAATAATAATAATAATAATAATAATAATAATCTTTATTTGTACCCAACTACCATCTCCCCAAGGGACTCGGTGCGGCTTACATGAGGCCAAGCCCAAAGTACATCAAACAAAACATCAGATATCCCCATCCCGTCCACCAATTAAGAATATTTCAGATTAAGTATCTCTTAACCTGAAAAATTCCAAAGAAGAAAAACCTTTGCTTTCTGATAGTTAGATGCCACTCTCTTAGTCACCCACATGGCCCCTTCTGAAGTATTTGGGAATTCCTGATAAGGAATGCTCAATCCTTATTATGTACAAAATTACCTTTAGGTTATGTGTATAATAAAATATATATCTGAAATATAACAGAACTTCAACTTGGCTTCCATCTCCAAGATATCTCATGATGAAGAATCAAAGAGTTGGAAGAGATCACAAGGGACAGCAAGTCTCATCCCATTCTGCCATGCAAGGAAACACAATCAAAGCACTCTCAACAGAGAACCATCCAGGTTGTGTTTAAAAACCTCTGGAGGACAAGACTCCATTGGATCCCCAGCCAGTGGATTCCTCAGATGAAAAGATCTTAGGTGGAATCTCTTTTCCTGTAATTTGCTCCATTGAACTCCAGTCTCTGGAACTACAGAAAATAATCTTGGCCCTTCCTCAATGTAACATCCCTTCAAATATTTAAAAATGACTCTCATGTGCCTTTCTCTCAGCCTTCTTTCCCCCAAGTTAAACATCCCTAGCAAATGGTCATGGTTTCCAAACGTTTGACCATTTTCGGCACCCTCCAATTTGTCAATATCCATCTTGAGCTGTGGTGCCCAGAACTAGAGACATTTCGCCCAAAGCAGAATGAAGGGGGACTATGACTCCCTTCGATCTCGATACAAGGCTCTTCTTGATGTAGCCCAAAATTATGGCCTAAGCGTAGTACTGTACATATCTCCCTGATAAAGTTCAATTTTGTTTGTTTTGACCAGTCCGCTCTCCAATCTGTGAATGTCCTTAGTCTTTGCTGAGAACTACCATATTTACTCAAGTCTAACACACCATTGAATTGAATGCGCATGTCAATTTTCTAAAACCTGTAACCCAAAAGCAGCAAAACATGCACCCTTTGTCATTTGGCCATTAGAGTTGCTGCCTGCTTAGAATTCTTTCGTTAAAAAACAAAAGTGTTAGTACACCAAACCTTCCAGCAAAGGAAAAGAAAACCTTGGGGTGCATCTATGCTATTGAATGAATCTACCTTAATTTCCTTGGTTCAATGCTATGGAATTTTGGAGGCTATAAAATCTTTAGCTTCCTCTGTCAAAGGAACAATGGCTTCAAACTACAAGAAAGGAGATTCCATCTGAACATGAGATGGAATTCCTGACTGTGAGAGCCGTTCAGCAGTGGAACTCTCTGTCCTGGAGTGTGGTGGAGGCTCCTTCTTTGGAAGCTTTTAAACAAAGGTGAAGATGTGGCTGTGGAGTCAGGCCTTCGATGAATGAGACAACACCACAGGACCCTGGATGGAAGTTGATGTAGATCCATCTTAATAGGACGACTGACCACTGTAGTTTTATATATAGTGTTTTTAAAGTTGTTTTTGTAATTGTGATATATGATATTTTAATGAGTGTATATGTTTTTTATAGCTGGAAACCGGGCTGAGTCCCTCAATGAGGTTGAGAAGCTCGGTATAGAAAACTGTGAAATAAATAAATAAATAAAGGCTGGATGGCCATCTGTCAGGGGTGATTTAAATGCAATATACCTGCTTCTTGGCAGAATGGGGTTGGACTGGATGGCCCATGAGGTATCTTCCAACTCTCTGATTCTATGATTCTATAATTATTGGTATTGTTATATCTATATCTGCCATTTATTGTTATTATATTTATATCTGCCATTTTTATTATTATCATCATAATTATATTTATATCTGTCACTTATTATCATCATCATCATATATTTATATCTGGCATTTATTACTGTTATTATATTTATATCTGCCATGTATTATTATTATCGTTATATTTATATCTGCCATGTATTATTGTCATTATATTTATATCTGCCATTTATTGTTATCATCATTATACTGTGATAATAATATATTATTATTATCATTATATAGCCGGCAGGACTGAAGTTCAACTCCGGGGACAGCGCGGATGAGCTCCCTCTGTCAGCTCCAACTCCCCATGGGGGACATGAGAGAAACCTCCCAAGGATGGTAAAACATCAAAACACCTGGGCGTCCCCTGAGCACCATCCTTGCAGACGGTCAATTCTCTCACACCAGAAGCAACTTGCAATTTCTCAAGTCGCTCCTGACATGAAAAAAAATCATTATATTTATGTCTGCCATTGATCTCCAGTGCAAAAAAGTGAGTTTCACTTGAGTTTTGATCTCAAGTTAAAAAAATGGGGAACCCTAGATACAAAGGAATACGGTAGTTTATTATTATTTCCTCTGCTATTTATTATTCTTATTATTTATTATTATTTATTTAAAACTTTTATATCCCGATCTTCTCACCTCCTTGACTCAGACCGGCTTACAGCAAGGATTCAATGCTAATAGTATTATCTAAAAACATCATATAATAACAAGTTAAAATACATATCGATTAAAATTACAAATAAGCCAAATCGCCAAGATAAAATCATGTCCAACTCAGTCCGTTTGTGTGGTCGATAACTTTGTTCTGTAGCCAGTTTCATCCATTACTTTGGGAATGCTTCCTTCCATAGCCAAGATTTCACCAGCCTCCTGAAGGACAGGAGGGAGGGGGCAGATCTGATCTCAATTGGGAGAGAATTCCATAGCCGAGGGGCCACCACAGAAAAGGCCCTGTCTCTCATTCCCACCAGATGCGATTGCGAAAGTGGTGGGACTGAGAGCAGGGCCCCACCAGAAGATCTTAATTGTCTTAGTGGTTCATATAATTATATTTATATCTGCCATTTATTATTATTATTATTATTATTATTATTATTATTATTATATCCGCCTTTGATCTCACGTGAAAAAAGGGCAGGTTTTGATACAAAGAAATACTGTAGTTTGTTTAAATTGTTATTATTTCCTCTGCCATTTATTATTATTATATTTATTTATATCCGCCTTTGATCTCATGTGAAAAAAGGTCAGGTATACAAAGGAATACGATAGTTTATTATTATTTCCTCTGCTATTTATTATTATTATTATTATTATTATTATTATTATTATTATATCTGCCCTTTATTATTATTATTATTATTATTATTATTATTATTATTATTATAATATTTATATCCGCCTTTGATCTCATGTGAAAGAGATCAGGATTTGATACATTTAAATTGTTATTTCCTCTGCCATTTATTATTATTATATTTATTTATAGCTGCCTTAGATCTCACGTGAAAAAAGGTCAGGTATACAAAGGAATACAATAGTTTATTATTATTTACTCTGCTAGGTTCTTGTGGGTTTTTTCGGGCTATAGGGCCATGTTCTAGAGGCATTTTCTCCTGAAGTTTCGCCTGCATCTATGGCAAGCATCCTCAGAGGTAGTGAGGTCTGTTGGGATTAGTAAAATGGGTTTATATGTCTGTGGAATGACTGGGGTGGGGCAAAGAGCTCTTCTCTGCTGGAGCCAGGTGTGAATGTTTCAACTGACCACCTTCATTAGCATTAGAAGGCCTGGTTGAGCCTGGAGGAACCACCTCAACTGGGCTCTCCAGACCAATGGAGACTCCACCTCAGACATCAGAAGAGCTGCAAGACCAAGAACAAGCCAGGAGAGTAAAGATGAAGATCCACCCAGAGGGAAAGTGTTCCTGCCATACATCAAGGGAACCACTGAACGCATAGGGAAGCTGATGAGGAAACACAACATACAAACAATCTACAGACCCACCAAGAAGATACAACAAATGCTTCGTTCAGCAAAAGACAAGCGGGATCCTCTCACCTCTGCAGGAGTCTACCGTGTACTATGCAGCTGTGGACAAGTCTACAGAGGGACCACCAAACGCAGCAGCATTGCCCAAACACGAATCAAGGAACATGAAAGGCACTGCAGACTACTTCAACCAGAGAAGTCAGCCATAGCAGAGCACCTGATGAACCAGCCTGGACACAGCAGATTATTTGAGAACACAGAAATGCTGGACCACACCAACAACCACCATGTCAGACTACACAGAGAAGCCATTGAAATCCACAAGGATGTGGACAATTTCAACAGAAAGGAGGAGACCATGAAAACGAACAAAATCTGGCTGCCAGTATTAAAAAAAACTCAAAAATTACAACAGCAAAACAGCAGAGAGGAAACAACCAGGCACATCTTAACACCTCTCAACAAAAGATTCCCCCAGGCTCAGCCAGGCCTTCTAATGCTAATCAAGGTGGTCAGTTGAAACATTCACACCTAGCTCCAGCAGACAAGAGTCCTTTGTCCCACCCTGGTCATTCCACAGATATATAAACCCAATTTTCCTAGTTCCAACAGACCTCACTACCTCTGAGGATGCTTGCCATAGATGCAGGCGAAACGTCAGGAGAGAATGCCTCTAGAACATTATTATTATTATTATTATTATTGAAGCAGCCTCCCATATTCCCCCATATCCCCCTCCCTCTCCCTCCCAAGCAAGGCTTCTGTACCGTAATTCCCCGAGCAAACCCGCAGGAGCTGGGCCTCCATCCCTGGCCTCCTCATTCCCCCGCTTGCTTGCTTCCCTTCCTTGCTTCCTTCCTTCCCTGGGATACAGCTTGAATCCCCTGAGGATCTCCTTGGCGCGCTCCTCCTCCTCCTCCTGGCCGGACATGGCTCCTCTGGGCCGGAGAGAGAGGCGCCTCGGACGCCCCGACGCCGGCGGAACCAGCCCTCCACACAACACGCCCCGCCTACTACGCCCCGCTCGACCAATCCGAGCCGGGGCTTCCCCACACAGGCAGCGCCGGCGGCCAATCCGAGGGAGGCTCCCTTCCCCGGCTCAGTCGCTAAGGAAGAGACGCCCCAGCAACCGCAGGAGAGAGTGAGGGGCGGACGGGTCTCCCCGCGGGACAATCTCCACCGAGAAGCGAACGCTATGGCTCGAAATGGGCAATGCTAGGAAGGCGTAGGGAAGAGCGCCCCCTGGTGGACAGAGCAGGGCACGGAGGATTGGGTGAATGAATGGGACACAAGTTGTTACCTCTTAGACAAATTACACTGCTTAGCCGGTATTGCACCACCTGACATCCGCCGGGAAGTAGCAGCCAATTGTGAAAGGACCAAGGCAGAGACATCTCAGCATATCCCCTGCTTGGGTATCAGCCAGCACGTCAACGACTTAAATCTAGAAATAGTTTTCTAAGTTCTACAGAGACATTCATTGGAACACCTCAGCAAGTGAGAGTCCAACAGTGGCAGGCTCAAACCCAGAACCAAGGTAGTGACATCTCCAGCTCATCCCCTGTTTGGGTATCAGCCAGCACGTCAACGACTTAAATCTAGAAATAGTTTTCTAAGTTCTACAGAGACATTCATTGGAACACCTCAGCAAGTGAGAGTCCAACAGTGGCAGGCTCAAACCCAGAACCAAGGTAGTGACATCTCCAGCTCATCCCCTGTTTGGGTATCAGCCAGCACGTCAACGACTTAAATCTAGAAATAGTTTTCTAAGTTCTACAGAGACATTCATTGGAACACCTCAGCAAGTGAGAGTCCAACAGTGGCAGGCTCAAACCCAGAACCAAGGTAGTGACATCTCCAGCTCATCCCCTGTTTGGGTATCAGCCAGCACGTCAACAACTTAAATCTAGAAATAGTTTTCTAAGTTCTACAGAGACATTCATTGGAACACCTCAGCAAGTGAGAGTCCAACAGTGGCAGGCTCAAACCCAGAACCAAGGTAGTGACATCTCCAGCTCATCCCCTGTTTGGGTATCAGCCAGCACGTCAACGACTTAAATCTAGAAATAGTTTTCTAAGTTCTATAGAGACATTCATTGGAACACCTCAGCAAGTGAGAGTCCAACAGTGGCAGGCTCAAACCCAGAACCAAGGTAGTGACATCTCCAGCTCATCCCTTGTTTGGGTATCAGCCAGCACGTCAACGACTTAAATCAAGAAATAGTTTTCTAAGATCTACAGAGACATTCATTGGAACACCTCAGCAAGTGAGAGTCCAACAGTGGCAGGCTCAAACCCAGAACCAAGGTAGTGACATCTCCAGCTCATCCCCTGTTTGGGTATCAGCCAGCACGTCAACAACTTAAATCTAAAAATAGTTTTCTAAGATCTACAGAGACACTCGCTGGAACACCTCAGCAAGCGAGAGTCCAAAAGTGGCAGGCTCAAACCCAGAACCTCAACCAATGGCTGATACCAAATGAGAGACTCCCCCTGGGCACACAGAGGACTGGGCGACTTGGAAGGCGCTGAACAGACTGCGCTCTGGCACCATGAGATGCAGAGCCAACCTTCAGAAATGGAGCTACCAAGTGGAATCCTCAACATGCGAGTGTGGAGAAGAGCAAACCACTGACCACCTGCTGCAATGCAACCTGAGCCCAGCCACACTCCAAGTGGCCAGATACTGGTCAAAGGACATTTAACCAGCTACCAAACTCACAAGTTGTGTATTTTGTCTGTTTGTTTGCTTTGTTCTGTTAGAAATGTAATATAATGCACTGGTTGCTCTGACACGACAAATAAATAAAACCTCTTAGAGCAGTGGTTCTCAACCTGGGGGTTGGGACCCCTTGAGGGGTCACGAGTGGGTGTCAGAGGAGTCACCAAAGACCATCAGAAAACACAGTATTTTCTGATGGTCATGGGGATTCCATGTGGAAAGTTTGATCCAATACTATCGTTGGTTGAATTCAGAATGTTCTTTGATTGTAATGAACTATAAATCCCAGCAACTACAACTCCCAAATGTCAAGTTCTATTTTCCCCACACTCCACCAGTGTTCACATTTGGGCATATTGAGTATCCATGCCAAGTTTGGTCCAGATCCACCATGGCATGAGTCCACAGTGCTCTCTGGATATAGGTGAACTACAACTCCCAAACTCAAGGTCAATGCCCATCAAACCCTTCCAGTGTTTTCCATTGGTCATGAGAGCCAAGTTTGGTTCAAATCCATCACTGGTGGAGTTTAGAATGCTCTTTGATTATAAGTGAACTATAAATCCCAGCAACTACAACTCTCAAAATACAAAATCAATCCTCCCCCAACCCCACTACCATTCACATTTGGGTGCATTGGGTATTTGTGCCCAGTGAATGAAAATGCACCCTGCATATCAGATATTTACATTATGATATATAACAGTGGTAAAATGACTGTTATGAAGTAGCAACGAAAACAATATTATGGTTGGGGGTCACAACATGAGGGACTGTATTCAGGGGTCGTGGCATTGGGAAGGTTGAGAACCACTGTTTTAGAGAAAGAGATATGAATGAAATCTCAGCATACTGGATGATGACAGATGACAATGTCGTCTGTGCGCATTCAGAAGAAGATGTACAAGCCACTCTAAACACCTTCGCAGAAGCATACACGAAGCTTGGCCTGTCATTGAACATCGAGAAAACCAAAGTGCTGTTCCAGCAGTCACCAGCCATCCCCTCCCCAATGCCAGAGATACAGCTTAATGGTGTAACATTAGAAAATGTTGACCATTTCCGCTACCTTGGCAGCCACCTCTCCACCAAAGTCGACACCGAAATACAACACCGCCTGAGCTCTGCGAACGCAGCTTTTTTCCAAATGAAGCAGAGAGTGTTTGAGGATTGGGACATCCGTAGGGATACTAAGGTGCTTGTTTATAAAGCTATTGTCCTCCCAACCCTGCTATATGCCTGTGAGACGTGGACTGGCTACAGACGTCACATGCAACTTCTGGAACGATTCCATCCGCGCTGCCTCTGGAAAATCCTGCAAATCTCTTGGGAAGACAAGCAGACAAATGTCAGCATGCTGGAAGAAGCAAAGACCACCAGCATTGAAGCAATGGTCCTCCGCCATCAACTCCGCTGGACCGACCACGTTGTCCGGATGCCTGACCACCGTCTCCCAAAGCAGTTGCTCTACTCTGAACTTAAGAACGGAAAACGGAACGTTGGTGGACAGGAAAAGAGATTTAAAGATGGCCTCAAAGCCAACCTTAAAATCTCTGGCATAGACACTGAGAACTGGGAAGCCCTGGCCCTTGACCACTCCAGCTGGAGGTCAGCTGTGACCAGGAGTGCTGCAAAATTTGAAGTGGAGTTCAGAATGTTCTTTTATTGTAATGAACTATAAATCCCAGCAACTACAACTCCCAAATGTCAAGATCTATTTTCCCCAGACTCCACCAGTGTTCACATTTGGGCATATTGAGTATTCATGCCAAGTTTGGTCCAGATCCACCATGGCATGAGTCCACAGTGCTCTCTGGATATAGGTGAACTACAACTCCCAAACTCAAGGTCAATGCCCATCAAACCCTTCCAGTGTTTTCCAGAGGAGGCACGAGTGGAGGGTGAAAGAGAGAAACGCGCCAGGAGGAAGGCGCGTCAAGCCAACCCCGACCGGGACCGCCTTCCACCTGGAAACCAATGCCCCCACTGCGGAAGAAGATGCAGAGCAAGAATAGGGCTCCACAGCCACATACGGACCCACAAGGAAACCCATAATGGAAGACCATCTTACTTGTCCAACGAGGGATCGCCTAAGTAAGTCAAGACATATACACATACATTCATATACATGTATGCATACATATAGACACACACACACACACACATATATATGCAAGCAGACACAAATATACACATATACACACACATATACACCCTAAAAAACCCCGAAATAAGCCATATATACATATACACATACATTCATATACATGTACACATACATACAGACGCACACACAGATATATATGCAAGCAGACAGAAATATACACATATACACACACACATATACACCTATATACATATACACCCTAAAAAACCCCAAAATAAACCATATCTACATATACACATACATTCATATACATGTACACATACATACAGACGCACACACAGATATATATGCAAGCAGACAGAAATATACACATATACACACACACATATACACCTATATACATATACACCCTAAAAAAACCCAAAATAAACCATATCTACATATACACATACATTCATATACATGTACACATACATACAGACACACACACACACATATATATATATACGCAAGCAGACACAAATATACACATATACACACATACATATACACCAATATACATATATACCCTAAATAAACCATATATACATATACACATACATTCATATACATGTACACATACATACAGACGCACACACACACATATAAGCAAGCAGACACAAATATACACATATACACACATACATATACACCTATATACATATACACCCTAAAAAACCCCAAAATACACCATATATACATATACACATACATTCATATATATGTATACATGCACACATACATACAGACACACACACATATATATATGGAAGCACACACAAATGTACACATATACACACACATACATATACACCTCTATACATATACACCCTAACCCCCACAAATAAACCATATATGCATATACACATACATTCATATACATGTACACATGCACAAATACATAAAGACGCACACACAAATATACATATATATACACACACATACATATATACACACACACACATACATATACACCTATATACATATACACCCTAAAAAAACCCCAAAATAAACCATATATACATATAAACATTGTGCTGTCACATGCTGGGCCTGTGCATAAGACTGTAGACAGGACATAAATTCTGTGTGCCCAACGGGACGCCGAGGCTGCCTCAGATTAAAGGCCTTTGGATT